GGAGGTCCTCGATATCTGGATCAACTCCAAGCCGATGGCATTTGCTCCACAGCCCCATGTTGGTGGAGTTATACTGCCTGCTGCACTCATCGGCGGCGCTCATGGCGAATAGCTGCCGTCTGTTCCGCGCCAGCAGCAGCTTTTCCTCCCAGCGGTCCAGGCGCGAGCGGCTCGCCCGCAGAGGGAGGCTATTGTTGGGGATGTAAATAAAGCCCGGGTCCTTCCGGCGGCTGGAGAAACTTCGGCACCGCTCTCGGTACCTCCGGGCGAGCCATAGGGCTTCGCACCTTTATATGCAGGGGATTCGTCACTCCTGCTAACACATGAGTGTTGAACTTGCCATTTTATTTACTGTCAATTTTTCATGTCAGTGCACATGAATGAGGCTGTAATGTCTATCGCAGGCCTCCAGTTGTGAAATCTGACGTTAGTTTATGTATGACTGGAGTTTCAGTGGTTTACTAAATACTGCACTGGAATATTGCACTGGATATGCTGTTCCTGAAAGTAATACAAGTGCTTGAAGGGTAGCATAAGAATAGTGCTAAGATTTCAGACTTTCAGGCTGCCAATTTATACTTGTTGGCTATAGATGGTTAAAAAGATGACAAGGCCGAACACAATTCAGTATGCAAATATTACAATGGCACCATTGCAGCTGTTGCATTTTGAATGCTGAATATTCAGTTATATTTGATTCACTTGGTGTACATAAGTGGCATATTTTAAACATTTTATCTCAAAATTGCTTGGAAAAAATAGGGAGCAGCTGATCATTTTTCATACATTTTCTAAGTGACCAGTCAACAAAACCAATTTAAATTGTTTTGTTTCTGCTTTTAAAGAAATAACAATAATAATATGTATTTTTAGACTTTAGTGGAATACATAATGAATATATTAACCAATATAATAATCATAATAATAATGTAGGTTCTTCGGGTCAAGCGATAATTAATAAACAACATTTTTATGTAACAGAAAAGGGACACGCTTTCTTTAAAGATTTCTAAAAAGATTTATTGCTTTAGGCATTAGTTTATGTACCCTTCAATAAACAAACAGAGGAGTGTTACCCCATATGATTTTCGTCCAATAGAATTAAGGAATCAAAAACAGCCCAAGGGTATTTGCTGTTTTGCACATATCACAGTTGCACAAATATTTACGTGAAAGGACAAAGTTATTTAACAAGTTAATAATAAAGTAAATAAATATATTTATTATTATTGTTGTTGTGCCATTAAATGTTGTTGTTAACAACTCAAGTATGAATGACTGTTACATAAAATGTTACATTAAATAATTATCGGTTGACTATGGAAACCGATATGTGAAATATGTAGAAAATTGTAAATGTCTCTGAAAAAATATCGGTGAAACGGACTATTGGTTTAGCCTATCTCTATTTACGATTTATAAATAAATAGATAATATGACTAAGCTAGATTAAATAGTGGTTTGGGCTGAATTAATTGTAGAAGATCAGAGTCACCCTAAACCAGATGTTTTGAGGAATGCCAATACTCTTCTGACATAAAAGCAATATAATCTGCATTGCACACTGACAGACACAACACATCACTGTCCTACCTTTTCGAATGAGGTCCTCGATTTCTTGATCAAATCCAAGCCGATGGCATTTGCTCCACAGCCCCATGTTGGTGGAGTTATACTGCCTGCTGCACTCATCGGCGGCGCTCATGGCGAATAGCTGCCGTCTGTTCCGCGCCAGCAGCAGCTTTTCCTCCCAGCGGTCCAGGCGCGAGCGGCTCGCCCGCAGAGGGAGGCTATTGTTGGGGATGTAAATAAAGCCCGGGTCCTTCCGGCGGCTGGAGAAACTTCGGCACCGCTCTCGGTACCTCCGGGCGTCCGTCTCGTACCAGTGGTCGGAGCAGATAGCCACGGCCAGCATCCCGAGCGCGCAGAGGGACAGAGACAGACCGGCGTAGAGCAGCAACTTCCCCGCAGCCATGCTCGCGTCGCGTTCGCTCAGAGCCGCGTCAGCACCACAACAGCTTGGAGAGCTCCTCGACGCGCAGCCGCATCCCGCCGGGCGCGCGGACAGAGAGAACGGGTGTCAGTCGGTGCAGTGAAATTTGTTTTGGAGAGCTCGACCGAAAATATTTAAGCCTTTATTTAACGTCCATCCGCAGCTCTTCCCATCCAACACTGGTGAATGAAACCAGACGAGACGATTCAGTCCAGTCCTCGAAACAAGCCTTTCAAAAGAAGGCAGAGGAAGATTTTTTAACCAATTTTTATATTAAAGCTGATACAACACTCTTTAAATTGGGTTTCAGCAGAAACAGTTTTACAAAATAGCCCAGGCGTACCATTGCGTCACCTAAGATTTCGTACTACGTCTATCATCCTGTAGGCTATAAAGACAGGACGCGATTCACGGCCGATTATTAATGTTTGAACCTCCCAGAAAATGTGTGTGGGGGGTACAAACTATTCTAACGTAGCCAACGTTTCAGTTGTGTTTGCAAACATTTCAATAACCAAAAGTTCGATTACAAGTTAAGGCCTGTTGACACCAAGGACGATAACTATAAAGACAAGGATAAAGATATAGCTCTAAAACTCGTTCTCAATATTAAAGAATAGCAGAGTCCACACCACAGCTATAACGACAAAGGCAAAGAGAAACGATATCTTTGGAATCACTTTTTTTCCAGCTGATGAATGATAAATAAAAACTTTTTTTTTATTGCATCAACTTTACAATCAAACAATGTACAAACTCGTATTCCAGCATTCATCCTTGTTTGAGCATGTACAAAAACAGAACAAAAAAATGTATTCAGCCATCAAAATAAACCAAACTAAAAAGCTTCAAAAATAAAATGCAACAAAATTGGCTTTTCAATTAAATTAGATACAAATCCAAGAGAGAAGTCAACTTAAGGGCTTCTTGTTCTTAACAAATTTTAGAAACTTCCCAAAACATAACAGGAAAATAATCAATTCAAAATCTCGATAAAAAACATTGACAGCCAATCAGAATCAATCCTGCTATAACGAGCTCGAGAATTTAAAGCGCAGAGCGTGTGCTCATAAAACAGAATAGAACATATCGTTCGCTGGTGTGGACGCTAACATCGTTATCTTTATCGTTCTTGGTGTGAACGGGACTTTCAGCTGTGGCTAAATTGACCCAAGCGAAATCGCGTTCACCTGAGGTGGTCACCATAACAGTTTTGCGCTTTCTGGTGCGATCATCGCGCGGTAGGGGAGAGCACGGACGAAAGTAACAATGTGAAATTTGTGTCTCCCCTACATTCACAAAAAAATTACAAATACTGCCAGGCTAGTATTTATCGTCATTTTTAAATTCACAACACAAATATATAGCACAAACCGTAATCGTTTTCGTAGTTCGTTGCATAATTTACGATCAGGCCAAATGACAATCTACGTTGCTTAAGACAACCTTCAAAAATGGGCTACCTATAAAAAATCATTTAAGAAGCCGACCAATGATTCTAAATTGCTTTTGATTCATTTGAAATGAACCGAGTCAATTGTTCGGGAATCGGACTAGACTGATTACCAATTCACTCAAAATAACCAGCTCATACGAGTCATTTGTACGGGAGCTGGACTACGCTGGTGGTGCTGAACGTTTTTTAGAGACAGACCGGCGTAGAGCAGCAACTTCCCCGCAGCCATGCTCGCGTCGCGTTCGCTCAGAGCCGCGTCAGCACCACAACAGCTTGGAGAGCTCCTCGACGCGCAGCCGCATCCCGCCGGGCGCGCGGACAGAGAGAACGGGTGTCAGTCGGTGCAGTGAAATTTGTTTTGGAGAGCTCGACCGAAAATATTTAAGCCTTTATTTAACGTCCATCCGCAGCTCTTCCCATCCAACACTGGTGAATGAAACCAGACGAGACGATTCAGTCCAGTCCTCGAAACAAGCCTTTCAAAAGAAGGCAGAGGAAGATTTTTTAACCAATTTTTATATTAAAGCTGATACAACACTCTTTAAATTGGGTTTCAGCAGAAACAGTTTTACAAAATAGCCCAGGCGTACCATTGCGTCACCTAAGATTTCGTACTACGTCTATCATCCTGTAGGCTATAAAGACAGGACGCGATTCACGGCCGATTATTAATGTTTGAACCTCCCAGAAAATGTGTGTGGGGGGTACAAACTATTCTAACGTAGCCAACGTTTCAGTTGTGTTTGCAAACATTTCAATAACCAAAAGTTCGATTACAAGTTAAGGCCTGTTGACACCAAGGACGATAACTATAAAGACAAGGATAAAGATATAGCTCTAAAACTCGTTCTCAATATTAAAGAATAGCAGAGTCCACACCACAGCTATAACGACAAAGGCAAAGAGAAACGATATCTTTGGAATCACTTTTTTTCCAGCTGATGAATGATAAATAAAAACTTTTTTTTTATTGCATCAACTTTACAATCAAACAATGTACAAACTCGTATTCCAGCATTCATCCTTGTTTGAGCATGTACAAAAACAGAACAAAAAAATGTATTCAGCCATCAAAATAAACCAAACTAAAAAGCTTCAAAAATAAAATGCAACAAAATTGGCTTTTCAATTAAATTAGATACAAATCCAAGAGAGAAGTCAACTTAAGGGCTTCTTGTTCTTAACAAATTTTAGAAACTTCCCAAAACATAACAGGAAAATAATCAATTCAAAATCTCGATAAAAAACATTGACAGCCAATCAGAATCAATCCTGCTATAACGAGCTCGAGAATTTAAAGCGCAGAGCGTGTGCTCATAAAACAGAATAGAACATATCGTTCGCTGGTGTGGACGCTAACATCGTTATCTTTATCGTTCTTGGTGTGAACGGGACTTTCAGCTGTGGCTAAATTGACCCAAGCGAAATCGCGTTCACCTGAGGTGGTCACCATAACAGTTTTGCGCTTTCTGGTGCGATCATCGCGCGGTAGGGGAGAGCACGGACGAAAGTAACAATGTGAAATTTGTGTCTCCCCTACATTCACAAAAAAATTACAAATACTGCCAGGCTAGTATTTATCGTCATTTTTAAATTCACAACACAAATATATAGCACAAACCGTAATCGTTTTCGTAGTTCGTTGCATAATTTACGATCAGGCCAAATGACAATCTACGTTGCTTAAGACAACCTTCAAAAATGGGCTACCTATAAAAAAATCATTTAAGAAGCCGACCAATGATTCTAAATTGCTTTTGATTCATTTGAAATGAACCGAGTCAATTGTTCGGGAATCGGACTAGACTGATTACCAATTCACTCAAAATAACCAGCTCATTCGAGTCATTTGTACGGGAGCTGGACTACGCTGGTGGTGCTGAACGTTTTTTAATTCACTAAAAAGAATCGGCTCATAAGAGTCGTTCTCGGACTACGTTGGTCGCGCTATAGATTCGGTAAACATAGCGAATGCTGTAAACTGTCGGAGTAGGCAATTTCATTCCTGTTCGCATTAGCGGAAGAATAATTAATGATTAAATAATGTAATGACGTTACTGAAGAACCGTTAACAGAACCTGCATTGATGAAAATGACTCGGTTCTGGTAGGCTACTGAATAAATGAAACCGGTTCCGAACCCTTGCCATCACATTTAGCCTACCTGGCGCTGGAAGATTATAGACTTTTGCTTTACGGTTTATGTTACATATCTGTTTCATAGAAATGCACCATCGCAGTCAGGTTTATTTGCTCATACTTTCTCTTTAGGGGATGCATGAACATTTATCAAATTGACTGTTAAAGAGAAAATGTAGCCTATTAAGATGACTCGACACCAATTCATTCAACCAATTCAATTTAAATCGAAGATCAAAACAGTAAATCATTCCAGTGAAGGAATGTTAGAAATAATAATGTAGGCTACAGCTATGCTCTTATAGCATCCATTGTTGGAAAACCCACGGGCCCCGTTTCTGGTCTGATAAAGTAAATTCAATTCTGTACTCACCCCAATTAAAGCCGATAAAACGGGTTCACTCCACTCCAATAATGCACATCCAGCCCATTTTGTGTTTGCAGTCAGTGTACGTTTGGCTATACAGGATATGCACTGCCAAATAAGCCTATTTAACACACAGCGACACACATTTATGAATGGTCTACGCTGGAAATATTAAACCGTTCAACGACGCCGCATCTCAGACGCTTCACGTTTAAATGAGTGTATCGCTATTAGAACATTTGGCGGATGGTGCATCCTCCTCCTCGGCCAATATGGTCCCAGCATCCTCCGTGCATGTTGCCTCTGTCTGGGAAAAACAGCGGTGATGTCATGCTGTCAATATGAGATGTTCATTGTTTATTAAAGCGGCTTCTTAAAGGAGTCGCACTACTGTTCTTGGTTCCGTATCAAACTGTAACTGGAGGTGCCTTGCTGGCATTCTCTCTTAGATTTACACATACTGAAGGAAACCGGTGTCTTTCATGAATAAATAATCAAAGCTTTCAGAATCCTTCATTTTGTCATTCTGCAGGATCAGAGCTATAAAATGATAGTTACTACACCAGAACCCCCCCAAAAAACCCTTCTTACTCATAAAGGTTTGTTATTTGAAACCACTATGCACTGTCCAGAACCAACAGCAGTCAGGTATTGCTGAATAATGAATGAGAGCGTGGCATCTGTGTGAGTGAGGCCATTGTAAGCCTTTTCTGTTTTATTGGGTTGCCCACACAGCCTTCAGATAATGTAGGGATTCGCATGTACTTCACATATTTTTGTGTAGGTGTATGTATGTGTACGAGATTGATATATATTAGGCTACACATTATTAAAGATTCAGTTCAGTATAATGAGACGGCAACAATCAGCAGCCCATTTCTTAAATGTAAATGTTTTTACCAGACTTTTTTCTTACTAAATAAGAAAAATGCAATAATAGAGAATATAGCATCATTTGCACTGCAGGGTGACAGATAATTATATATGAAACAATATTTTAGAAGTTTTGCATTTAAAAGTCAGCATCCGAGTGAAAATAATGTCAGGTATTTGTCTCAGAATTGAGGAAAACTGGAAATAAAGTGGAGCTTTATGCCATATTTTAGGCAAAGGCTACTACTGACAGACTGAAATATTGAATGTGACATAATTTGCAAAATGGGTCTGAAACCGCATAATATTGACTTGGATGCATTGGATTGACTCTTATTACACATTCTGAGATGTCTTTTCTTTATTGAATTTTATTGGACTGTAATTGTTGTCTCTAGGACAGTATGAATGACAGCTTGACAGCTACATTTTAATTAGCTACATTTTAAAATGAGGCAAAGTTTGTTTGGAACTTATTTGCAGCTAACAGTGAAAAATGAACAATGTAATCGAACAAATGCAGCCGATATACACAAGGCAATTTGTCTTGTGCTATTTGAGGATGTGTTATCTTGTTCCTTTTTTTGTCCCCCGAATTGTGTTAATAGATACATCCTCTGGAAGGAAAAGAAAAACGTGATTGTCATGCTAATCCAGAGAGCTGTCCATCAATTTATTTATTTATATCATAGGCTATGTGTGCTTTCCTCCTGTTTTAAATTACTTTAATGCATATATCGCCATCTAGTGCACAAAGATATCAGAACAAATCTAGTGTTCGTTACGCAGCCCTTAAAGGGTGGTTTTAAAACGTTTTATATGAGAATAATAATTAGAAGAAGAAGAATAGGGCTCAAAGAAGTCTTTTTTGAATGACTTGTCCAATAATCACATGCTCAATGGTTGGGTTTTCGATTTAATAAAGAAATTTAATAACGAAACTGTTAACATTAATGTTCAATTTAAATAAATAGGTATAGCCTACGTTATTCTATAAAGTTATCCACCAAGTTATTCTAATGATTAAATAATTACAGCACACACAGACTTCGACAGAACTCTTATCTTGGCAAATATTCGCATACGGAATGATTACACAGGCGTACGACTTCCTGTGACGCACAAGATCTTTTCTACAGTGAAGAGGCTAAGTAATTCAAGCTAAAAAGGTATTTAAAATTGACTAAATGTAAGGCTCTTTTTATCAAATGTAACCTGGGGGAAGTGTGAAAAACGCACAGCGCTTGAGCTATTAAACCACATTTCGATGCTACGCGCATGCGCGGCATTCACGTTCTGCACTGTGTGTTTGAGCGTATGAAGGTTGAACTGTCAGCTAACCATAAACGAATATTCAAAATAGTTACTGAATATATTTTGCCAATACTTCACGTCTGTCCACATGCTTTTATAATCAAGCATATATTTTTGGACCTCGACTGCTTCTTTCGGGATTTTTGAAAGGGTAAGAATATACATTTTAGACCTGTTATCTGCTAACTTAGGTTTATATACAAAGCAACTTGCAGACTCTTAAATGCACGACTGTGTTTTAAAGATATTAAAATAGTATTATTTTTTATTTCCATTAAAGCATTCATAGAAATGATGAGATATTGTCATTCTATGCATTTATCTGTGTATACTCTGTTAGGTGAAGATGGCTGGTCTGTCTAGCTATGCCCTGCGCATGGCCCGTCTAAGCGCCCGGATATTTGGAGATGTGGCCCGTCACACAGACTCCAAATCCATGAAAGTGGTAGAGTTGTTTAAAGAACCCCCGCTGGCCCAGAGAAAAGAAGTGTATAACTGGTACCCCCCACACAAGATCTACTATTCAATGACTCAGAAACTCAGATTCATGGGGCTTTTCAGGTAAGCTCTGGTTATAGTGCACCTCTGAACATTTGATCTTCAAATTCTGCTGTTTGTGCAGTTAACGGTTCTTTGCTATTGTTTTAGGGATGAGCACCAGGATTTCAAGGAGGAAATGAGGCGCTTGAGAAAACTGCGGGGTAAAGGAAAACCCAAGAAGGGAGAAGGGAAGAGAGCCGCAAAGAAGAAGTAGACCAGCACATTTCATCTATTATTTATGAAAGGACATTATGAATGGAGAATCTGATGAAGAAGCTCTGTACACGAGTTGTACCTGTATGGACAACAGGACATGTTTGTGACTGTGGTGTGATATGTTCTATTAGCAGAGATGATGGTGAAACAAAAACACAAATGCTGAATTTACAATGTTGGGACATCCTCAGCATACCTCACCAACACCTCTTAGGTTTGTTTTCCTAAGACTACACTGCAAGAGCCATAAACCCTTAGGCCAAAGCTTGGGCTACATACAAGAAATAATTAATTTTAAATTGCTACATTTGTGCCAACAAATCAATACACCAGATATTGTAATGGACCCATAATGGAAATAAGTCAGTCAGGATCATGTTAGAAATTATGCATGTGTAGCAATAATTTTGATTGTGGGAGACATGCTATTCCGTAAACCTGCCTATATCCGATCATTTTTTCCCTAATATGATAAAAAGGCATCTTAAAGGGGACATATGATGCGATTTCAATTTTTCCTTTCTCTTTGGAGTGTTACAAGCTCTTGGTGCATAAAGAAGATCTGTAAAGTTGCAAAGACTAAAGTCTCAAATCCAAAGAGATATTCTTTATAAAAGTTAAGAGTCAGCCATCCCTACCTAAAACAGCTCGTTCGAACACGCCCCCACATATCTACCTCACTATGTGGGAAGATTTGCATAACGCCGCCCAGATGTTCACGCAAAGAAAGAAGGCGTCACTTTTATTCTCGCTGTAGTATTGTTGCCGCCGCCGCCATGTCGTGAAGGCGCCGTGTGCTTTGTTGTGAAAGCTAAACTACTTTGTTTGGCTTTCCAAAAGAGGACAATATCGCTTCGTCATGCCTGGAGCTGATCCGTGCTGGTCTCTGAGGAAATACATCAGCTTCGCGCTGTGGATGTGTCGCGCTGTGGAAAAACAAAAACAGATATTTTACAAAAATCAGCAAACTGCAACAAAGTGAGAACAAAAAACTCCTCTCCAATCACCAGTGAGCAGAATAGGATTGGAGAGATAGAAAAGGAGAAAAACACAAGAGCTTCAAAGGGGAACTGTAACATAGCCACATATTTATAGCTTACTAAAATATAGGCTATTCGAACCAAATGTATAGGCTATATAGTTTTAGTTATTAGTATAGGACTACTTGTTTTTTATTACAGCCCATGATAATTAATACATTACAAAAACATTGTAAAAATTAGGCTAAAAGAAAGTCATCCCACTCCTCTACGTCTACTTCTATCATCGCTTGGATTACAGCGTCACGCGCCTTCTTTTTGAATGATTTTCTCCAATGAGGGGGCGGAACATTTGGCAAATTACGCTATTTTTTTGTAACCTTTGCCAGATCTGTGCCTTGCCACAATTCTGTTTCTGAGCTCTTCAGGCAGTTCCTTTGACTTCATGATTCTCATTTGCTCTGACATGCACTGTGAGTTGTAAGGTCTTATATAGACAGGTGTGTGGTTTTCCTAATCAAGTCCAATCAGTATAATCAAACACAGCTGGACTCAAATGAAGGTGTAGAACGATCTCAAGGATGATCAGAAGAAATGGACAGCACCTGAGTTAAATATATGAGTGTCACAGCAAAGGGTCTGAATACTTAGGACCATGTGATATTTCAGTTTTTCTTTTTTAATAAATCTGCAAAAATGTCAACGATTCTGTGTTTTTCTGTCAATATGGGGTGCTGTGCGTACATTAACGAGGAAAAAAAATTAACTTAAATGATTTTAGCAAATGGCTGCAATATTACAAAGAGTGAAAAATTTAAGGGGGTCTGAAAACTTTCCGTACCCACTGTATATATGGAAATGTATCTAAAGAGCCAAGTAATGCTTTTGTTATGAATATAAAAACTTAGCCTAATATAACACCCTTTCATAGTAATTGTTATGTTAAGTTATCATGGCAAATGAGTTATGTACACCAAAAGGCACCCTACAGTGATATTTACCCTTATAGTTGTAATTATGGGGGGCAAAACATAATTAAGTAATGCCCATATATATATATATATATATACTAAAAGGCCTTACTTACTAAAAAGTATGAACTATCAGAAGGCACATCGAAAAAAATTTCAGCGAAGTTTTGATAATGCTGAGAGGCCTTAGAAATGTAGACACTAAATATGATACAGTAGACTTTATAGGGTTAATTATTATTTCTTCAGAAAATTGTACCCCTCTGGCCACCTGATAGTGATGTGAGATCATGTTGGATTGACTGCTTAGTGCTTAGTCAGGTGATATACATAAATATTAATGTTTATATGCAGAGCTTTTGGCTTAAAATCAAGCTTTTTGGAGTTATTAGATAAAAGTTACCTTTATATATGGTCAACCTGATAGGCTGTTAACATAAGAAGGGATCATTTAAGTTGCATGAACCACATAGCTGAAACAAATTTGTGACATTATAATTTACACTTTAATATTAGCGCACTGGTCGGCGTCCAGTATCCCCATTTACCCCTCCACGGATTTACACTTGGTGAATCTGTCTCCCCCTCCTGTCTCGTTCTCTGTTTCTTTCCTCTATTATTTTCCACTCGGTTTCTCGTGGTTTAAAATGGCGGCGTTGAGCAGCGCCGAGTCCCCACCGCCCGTCTTCAACGGAGACACCATGAACCGCGATCCGGAGCGGGACCCGGGACTGGACGAGCTGGGCGCGGGGCTCGAACCCGCCTGTCCCGGAGGAGCGGCGATCCCCGAATGTCAACAGGACATTCCCGAGGAGGTACAATGGGGGAGTCAGGGTTGAAGGAGAACTGGGGTGTTGAGCGGAGCTGGGCTGAATGGAGATGTTCAGGAAACACCGGCTGTAATACGGATCGTGTGGGGATGCAATGCATTGCAGGGGGCGAGATGATGCACTATATATATATATATAGTAGAGCAAATCTTATATCGTGCGCTTATGCATTTTCGCAAGGTGCATTTCCGAATGACGCCATTGATAATTTTGTCATTGCAGTTCTCTGAGCCAATGTTTATCATAAGGCCTGTTCGTGTTTCATTGGCTTTATCCCCCCCCAACCCCAACCCCAACCCCAACCTCGCTGCATAGTATGCATGCATGCTACATATCTCACCTTGCGATGCATCTTATTAATGGGAAACTACAGATGCAACGGGGAATATTAACGGCTCGCATGCATTGCTTTATCTCCTTTGTGTCACCAGCTGGCGCGAGCTGAGTCTGCGTTCGAATGCATTTACATTTAAATCTGCAGTGATGTCATTGTGCTCGTGCATTTGGTCCTGCTAACGTTCTACATTTATTTTTGATCCCGTGCAAATTTATTGCATTGTGCATCTTTCTTCTAAGCTGTCAGCTGACTGTCTGCACAAATCACTTCTGCTGCTATAGGGGGTCTTTGCTGTTCGATGTACACACTGGGGTATTTCGTGGGTACATTCTGCACCCTGCAGGAACGTCCAGTTTAAGTTAGTAACTTTAGCTGTATTTTGGAGCCTGGTTGACCAGGTTGGAGCATCTACAATGTTCCAGAAACCACCTATTACTAGCTGGTTAGTTGATGCTCTACATGCAAGCTTTAAACCAGCTACAATAATCCAAAAACAGTTTGACCAAAAGGTAGCTGTGTTTCTGGAACATTACAGCTGGTTTCTTTCTTCTCAAGCTATCTAGAAACCATCTAGCATTTTTCTAAACTCTCCTACGAACTTAACATGGATTTTTGCTGGCAGACTAGTTGGATTAAAGAGCAGCTTGTGTAAGTTATCATTGTAGGAGTGCTTAGTGGTAATTAGATTAATTGTACTGCTGGCTCCCGTAACGGCTATACTGTCCGATTATACACAGGACTTGTCTTGCTTCTTTTTAAAAGGGCATCTATATTTAATTTATTACCTTTTTTACTCATACTTGAAGTGAAAATGTGGTATTGTTAAAGAATGGAGCATGATTGCATCCGATTGAAGAGTCCATGAACTTAGTTAGTAGTTTTATTGATGGTCACTGCCATAACCACATTAGACTTTGAAGAGTTCACATCATAACTTCCCAATAAAGAATAGTTTGATAGGGTTTGCAATGGGAGATCCTGAACTTTTACATTGACCCGGAATCTTGAATATTTGGCATAAGTGAGTTTTCACATTGCTGCATTACTGACATGAATGTTGAAGGAACATGAACTTCTCATTGTGTAGTTCTACAGCTATGACTTGTATAAAAGATACATTTGGAAGAATGTAATGATCTTTTGTTTTGATACAATTACACTGGAGCTTTTATGGTTGAAAAGAGATTCAAAAGCATCATAAAAGTATCATGTTATATGATATAGCCTATTATATTCCAGTGGGTTGGTAACAGGATCGAATTGAACTTGGGAATTGGTTCAGTCCAATTCATTATCAAATCATTCAAATATTTTCAGTTTGTCTTTTATATAGTGAAATTGTATGACTTCACAAGTCAAATGCAAGTCATATAGACTACTTTTTTTTGGTGTTTGCATATTTTTTCAAGTGTAAAATGCCAGTTCCTTTTTTTTTTGTAATTTCTTTTTGAAGGGGAAAAAACGATATTCTTCAAAATTTCTGCTGCTGTGTTGTACATATATATAAAAAGAAAGTCATAAGGTTTGAAATGGCATGAGGATGAGTAGGCCTAAATGATGGCAGAATTTTCATTGTTGAGCCTCTTTGTAGAGAAGTTGTAGATGGCTGCAATTATTTCACATGTATTGAGCTATTTTAAACTGTCTCGGTTATGCTGCATCATGTTGGAAACACGCAGTCTATTACCACATGGGGTTTGCTTTAAAAGAAAGGCTTGTAACAAATGTCTGTTTAAGAAACTGTCAGCAATCTTTGTCTTTCAGGAGTTTATATTGGCAAGTCTACTGAGAAAGTCCCTTGTCACAGATGCCTTTTAGCCTTTTTTCGCACTAATTTGACTAGTAGAGCCAGTTTATCTGCAAAGTTGATTAGGAATCAAGTGGCAGCTTGACTCTCGGAATGCAGGATTTTTAATCAGAACTAAAGCTAGATGCACTTAAATGTGCTATTTCAAGGGACGTAGAGGCATTCCAAGTTTCTTGACAGTCTGCTGGAAAATTGTTTCTCCAAATGGTGATCATAATAAAGTTTACTTGTAAAGCTTTGTAGCACTGTCAGATTGTGTTTACTTGGGCTAGAACATTTTCCAGTGAACTTGGAGTATTTTATGATGCTGCTTGTATTGCTTGGCAAACTTGAAAAATGTTTATTGGCTATTTGGAACAAGTGCATTGCTTGCACGTTTCCTTGAGCAAATGCTTGGCTGTAATTTTGTAGTACTTTAAATTAAGAGAGAAAAGTTTCTAATATTGGATGTGGTAGTACTTTTTCCCAAATTGCAGTTGCCCACAGTCATGACCTCAGGCACACCAATGGTTTTTAAAATGTGCTGCAATTAAAATCTTCAAGAACTAACATTTTTAGATCAATCATCTCCTGATAAATAGCCTCAAATGCTTAAACATATTCACATTATGGTTGTGAATGTCAGATTTTTGTACATTTAAAGTTGCATAAAATGCATAATTCTTCTAAGAAGGGTCGATTGCCAAAAAATAAAAGGTCTCCTGAAGATCTCCTGTTTCCATTGGTCAGACACAAGGATAGTCCCGCCCCCAATACACACACCGTTGGTTGAGACAATACCGCCGTGTCAGGTTTTGAAAGTGCCAGAGTGTTGGCTGTTTTCAGGAAAATAAGTCTATGAACGGCTTAAAATTGTCTCTGCAATTTAAGTTTGAGACTGGACAAAGTATTTAACAAAAAAAATACACTTCAGTTTAAGTTGAAGCATTTTGCAGCAGTTTCTTTGCTAATGCTCACTGTCTGTTTACTTCACACCTCAGATTTAATCACTATATCACAGTTTCTGTGGGCAGGGCTAGAGACAGCCGTCAGTGTCAGATTTTACAGCTTAGTGAAGACAAGCAAATGATTCCGTTTATTAGATTTAGCCTGAAAATTAGGTCCTTACTCATGTATAGTGAAGTTCAAAGATCGGATCAATCTAGGAATCAGCTAGGAAAGGAAGCTGGGAAAATTGGTTTGCTAACTCTAATTTTATTTGCAGATATGGAACATCAAACAGATGATTAAGTTAACCCAAGAGCACCTAGAAGCGCTTTTAGATAAGTTTGGAGGAGAACACAATCCGCCATCTATATACCTGGAGGTGAGTTGGCCCGACAAACGAGTTGCTGTCATGAGTGTGATGTGAAAGTAATATAAAGATGTTTTACTATACCAAAAATGTTCATTTTGAAAGATACATGATGTTATAAATGAAGAATAGCATGAATAAAGTAACTGGAATTTTTTACGCCATCTGTAGTTACAATTAACTTTTGGGCTTTGTTTCAAAATCTAGAAAGCCGCCTATGTAGGTAGCATTTTAAGGCATCATAGACACATAAAAAAAAAGTCTAAAAGTTGAAAATGCCTTTTTAGTCAAATTCTATGGGGGCATCCTAAGTATCCATCCCATAATGCATTGCAACAAGCATAGTGCAGAAATCCATATATAAGCAGGTGGGAGCAATTAATTGAAATATAATTCATTTAATATTTATAAAAGTATTTAGAATTAGTCAAATCTAGTTTTCTAAATATGAATGTGTGAATATGCTTTTATACTAATTGTTGTTAGCTTAGCAACATGATAATGGAAAAGTTAAAAATCTTAAACTAATAAAATGACAAGCATGTGACAAAATTAAATTGAAAACTCAAAACCTAAAATAAAAGCGAATTCAAAATATTATTATAACTAAACACTATAATGTAAATGCTGCACACTGCTATTATGATACTGGCCTGATGACAGAGCATTAGGTATGGGCTCTGATGGGAAAAAAAGGAGGTGTATTATGTCAGTAATATTTTGCCCATGAGTGGATTTTAGAATTTTTGTTATGAACGGAGATGGTAGGATATTTCGACCATACTTCACAGTACGGTTATAGTAAATAATTTGCATGATGTGAGTAATTATTTACATTACAATCGATAATGTGTTACAATCCTAGTAAAAACCTAAAAAAATAAAAAAGGAGGAGTTATTCTGCAGAATGTTCAGGCTTCTCTCTGCCATACAATACTAAAAAGTAGGAAGGAAAACAGTCCATATAACAAGATCTCTGAAGTTATACAGTAGCTTTATGTGATTTACAGATTAAAAATGTAGTTGTTTTTCACTAAAATGATGTCTAATGAAGTGTTGTTTTTGTTAACTAAAGAAATCTTTAAAAAAAACTAAACTAATAAAAATGAGAAAAACAGATTAAAATAAAAAATATTAAAAATCTGAAATTAAAAAAAGCAAATTCAAAATATTTCTAAATACTATGTAAATAATACTAATATAATATAAAAGTAAATGAAAACTATTAGAAAGCTTAAAAAAAACTAAAAATAATAAATGACAAAAGCATATGGCACAACTCAAATTAAAAGGAAAAGTAGAAATATAAAAATAAAAGCTAAATCAAAATATTAGTAAATACTATAATAGTATGTAAATAATACTAATATAATCTAAACATAAACAAAAGCTATAGCAATCTTAAAAACAAAACCGAATAAAAAACGAGAAAAGCATGACAGAACTAAAATGAAAATGAAAACTGAAAATATAAAAATAAAAGCTCATTTAAAAATATTACTAAATACAATAATAGTGTGTAAATAATACTAATATAATATAAAAATAAATTAACACTATATAAATCTATAGCTAAAACCTAATATAAAAATGAATTCAAACTACTATAATAGTATGTAAATAATACTAGTAAAATATATGCAAAAATAAATTGTACTAAAAACATAGTTAAAAATCTTAAACTAATAAAATGACAAGCATGTGACAAAATTAAATTGAAAACTCAAAACCTAAAATAAAAGAGAATTCAAAATATTATTATAACTAAACACTATAATGTAAATGCTGCACACTGCTATTATGATACTGGCCTGATGACAGAGCATTAGGTATGGGCTCTGATGGGAAAAAAAAGGAGGTGTATTATGTCAGTAATATTTTGCCCATGAGTGGATTTTAGAATTTTTGTTATGAACGGAGATGGTAGGATATTTCGACCATACTTCACAGTACGGTTATAGGCAGTCTTCAGTGCCACATGATCCTTCAGAAATCATTCTAATATGCTGAGTTGGTGCTCAAGAAACATTTCTGATTATTATCAATGTTAAAAAGAGTTTTGCTTAATATTTTTGAGGAAACTGGAATATTTATTCAGAATCCTCAATAAATAGAGTTAAAAGGGAAAGTATTTATTTGAAGTAGTTGTCTTTTGTAGCATTATAAATGTCTTTACTCTCAATTTTGATGCATTTTAATGCATCCTTGCTGAATAAAAGTGTTAATTTCTTTCAGAAAAACAAACAAACTTTTGAATGGTAGTGTGTATGTATAATGTATCTGCTATGTAACTTTTATTTGAGAAACTGTCACATTAAGGGTCACATTAATTATATACTGTAGTGTGTAGGTGGCTTTTAATCGTGTATTGTGCAGAATTACATTGTACTCTCCTGTCTCTGTTTTCTCCAGGTCTCTGTGCCATCCTACTGTGTCCCCGTCCAAATCCATCCCTATCCCACAGTCCTTTAGACCTGGAGAGGAGGACCACCGCAACCAGTTTGGCCAGAGGGATCGCTCTTCCTCAGCCCCTAACGTCCATATCAACACCATCGAGCCGGTCAACATTGATGTGAGAACTGGACAGTTGGCCAGCTAACCAATATATTTTAGTCAAAAGGATTTAATCCATTTTAATGTTATAAGCCCAACTTAAAAATGTCTTTACTTTGCACTTCCTGAATCTGAAAAATTAGCATCCAGTAATATTAATATTGATCATATTTGAAGTGTTCTTTTATTTTAGATGCATTATATTATAATTTATTTAAATTAATATTATTTATTTTTAAATGTGTTTACATTAAGTGCCCTCAACCATATAATCTTGTTTATTTTAAGTCTATTAATATAGAAGTTTCTTATACCCCCCAAAAAACGTAAGGTACATTTGTAGTAAGCAAAAAGCACAAAATGTTACAATTGCTCTGGTCTCCCCAATTCCCTGCTAATTTGTGTTATTTCTGTACAGGATTTGATCCGTGATCAAGGCTTACCGAGGTCAGATGGAGGTAAGTGTTGTCCGAAACAGAAAACATACACTAAGACACACCGAATTCAAATGGCTTTCCATCATCCCATGTCTTTGTGCTGTCTCTGTGTCATTGGCCTTAGAAGTTTGGGATAGCTGATCCATTTCACTCTGCCTGCTAGTAAAAGCTGACAAACAGGCCTTTCTCTCCCCTGCTCGCTTGTGAATTGCTTCAGCCCTTTTCTTTATCACTACTGGCCTGCTGTAAACTACTAATTCCTAATCTCTGTGTTCTCAAAACCCGCCCCTGTCCTTCCTGCTTCTTCAAAACATGTCCCAGAACTAAGTTTAAAGAGACAGTTCACCCAAAAATGAAAATTCAGTCATCATTTATTCAGCCTGGTGTCGTTCCAAACCTGTATGACTTTTTTTTTTTTCTTCTGTGGAAGGTAAAAGAAGATGTTTAGAAGAATTTCGAGCTGCTCTTTTCCATAAAACAAAGGGCGAGTAATTGATAACAGAATTCTCATTTTAGGGTGAACTGTCCCTTTAAGGACAGACTGTATACAGAAATAATGAAAAACTGGCTCTGTGTCACCTATAATTCACTTGATCTTTTCTAAACAACCTCTGAGAGTAGACACAGGATTTTGGTAGTGGGTGACCGAAAGTGCACCTGAGCTTCGGGGGCCAGTGATCCCGTGTCTGTCTCTCTCCCCCTGCAGCCCCCTCGCAACACCCAGTAGGGTGAACTGTCCCTTTAAGGACAGACTGTATACAGAAATAATGAAAAACTGGCTCTGTGTCACCTATAATTCACTTGATCTTTTCTAAACAACCTCTGAGAGTAGACACAGGATTTTGGTAGTGGGTGACCGGAAGTGCACCTGAGCTTCGGGGGCCAGTGATCCCGTGTCTGTCTCTCTCCCCCTGCAGCCCCCTCGCAACACCCAGCCCGCTGCTTGAGGAAGAACCGAACACGGACCTCAAGCCCCCTTCTGTCCTCCCACCCCAATGACATTGTCTTTGATTTTGAGCCTGAGCCAGTGTTCAGAGGTAGCTAGGCTTTTGTGCGTGGCTGTGTCCCACTCCTTGTCTCGTCTTTTGCATGTCTGTCTGTCTGTCTGTCTGTGTTTGTCTTCCACCTTGTGTGTTTTCAATTTCACTCCTCCTCCTTTAAATTCTCACTTTCTCTGCCACTTCTCTCGCACAAACTCTTTCACTGATGTTTGATGGGCTGCAGTCACTTTTCCTCAACTCAATACACTTGACTCACTTAGTAAAGCAAAGAATGACACATGTGTCTCGCAGACATTTCAGAAGTACAGGCCCCCTTTTAAATAATAATAAATCGGTCAATATTAAAAATATAATGTATATTTTATTTAGGTCACATGTGCCATTATCTAACACTCGGTTATTCTTTAGAAACACAAATAATAAGAGTCAAATGTAATCTTAAAATGCAGTTCTCACAAAATAATAATAAAAAAACAATCTTAAAAAGCAAATCTCAAAATGAATATCCAGTACAGCACAGTAATAATATATAGTATTTTTTTTATACTGTACACTATGTTGTGATGCCTGAATTGACTTGATTGAATTTTATTTTTTATTTTATTTAGCATTTTATTTTTTATTATTTGTTTAGACAAAATAGTTTTGAATTTTAGTATTGGTTATTGACCATAACGTAAAAATAAGTATTGGCTTATTGCATTGGACAGTGTTATTTTAAATATAATATAAAATTTATATTTCTAATTAGCTTTAAAAAAAATTCAGTTTTAGTAATTTTAGTCTTTAAATTTAAACGTATTTTATATCAGCTACTTGCCAAGGCAACATAACTAATATTCTTTTTTATTTAAGTTTAAGATTTTCATCTTACAGTTTTTTATTTAACAGTATTTTTTTTTAACAAATGAAAAAAAAATATATTAGTTTTAGTTACCAATAAGAACATTGATACCTGCCAGAATTGTTTGTTTTAATCCCTACTTGCAGTACTTTTGCGTACAGATCTATGTGACTTTTTTTTTGTTGACATTTTTGGGGATACTTTTTGGTTTTCCACTGGGAAAGAGATATGGGGTGTGGCTTAGGATTTGTTAGTATACTTCAGTCGAGGCATATATTGCTCACAGCCCCTTATTTCACACTGCATGGGCTGTGACGTGATCCTTTCCTCTCTTTCTCCCCCCATGTGACTCTAAGATTTTATTCCTTTCCTTCTGTCTCCTTCCCCTCTTACTCTGTCTCTCTCTTCTTTGGCTCTCATATTTCCTGTTAAAGTAACTTTACTTTGTTTCTCGACCTCTCGTAATGCCAGGCTCCACAACAGGCCTGTCGGCCACACCTCCTGCCTCCCTGCCTGGTTCCCTGCCCAATGTGAAGGTGTCCAAATCACCCTGCCCACCGAGAGAGCGGAAGCCATCGTCTTCATCTGAGGACCGCAATAAAATGGTGAAGATTTCTTGACCTTACTTGACACATCTAGTCCAGTTCAAAGGTCATTCGAGATGGTTTTTGGCATTTATTTTGTCTAATATTTAGAAAACCCTGGGTCGACGGGACTCCAGCGATGATTGGGAGATCCCAGAAGGTCAGATCACCCTGGGACAGCGGATAGGATCTGGCTCTTTTGGAACAGTCTACAAGGGGAAGTGGCACGGTAGGTCCTCTGAGAACAGTTTTGGTCTAAAGATGATAAAGGAATGTACAGAAAAGGCTAAATGTGTGTCTTCTTCCTCCTCAGGTGATGTGGCGGTAAAGATGTTGAATGTCACAGCTCCCACTCCACAGCAGCTACAGGCCTTTAAGAATGAAGTGGGTGTCCTCAGGTAAGAGCGTAAAATTACTCATCATTTCAAAACACGGTCTGTCCAAATTGTAGGTTTTAGGTAGTGGTTAACCAATATAGGTTTTTAAAAAAATTTTAATGTCATTTTTATTAGAAGAAAATAATAAAAAGGGTTTTAAACTATCTCAACTATTGGTAACAGGGTTGCAAAAAATTAAATTAAACAATTATATTAAGTGTAAAATTAGTATAAAATAATAAAATTCTCATAATATTTGATTTAACTTCATTGTTTATTTTTTTTAAACATTTGTATTTATTTTTTTTCCCCCTATTTTTATTTGAAGAAAATCATCAAAATCATAATTTAAGCGATCCCAATTGTTGGTAACAGGGTTGCAAAAAATTTAACTAAATTAAATTAAACATTTTAATTAAATGTAACGATAATTATATAATAATTTGACCTCATTTTTTGTTATAAATTTGTATTTATTTTTTATTAAATTTTTATTAGAAGAAAATAACCGTCATACGAACCTGGATTGTGTATTTGTTGGACATTATTTCGATGGAACTCTCAACTTCTCGTATACATGGATCTAATGTGAAAACTGTAAATTTATGGCATTCAGCTTTTAATGTTGTCAGCTTTTCTAAAATATTTGTAAAAAATTATTTTATTGCCATTTATTTATCTATTATTATTAATTTATTTATTTTTTTTAACGTCTACCAGGTTTGGGATTGGTTCTAAATTTGCACAGTTGCTTTTTGTTTTATATTGCTATTCCCAGAAGAAAATTCAATAAACAGTTGTTAACAAAAAAGAAGAGAAAAACCAAAAGGGGTTTAAAATATACCAATTGTTGGTAACATGGTTGCAAAAAAATATTATTAAATTTTATTCATTATATTAAATCTAAACAATTAAATGACCACAATTAAATTATAAAATAATAAAACAAAATCTTATAATATTTATTTGACTGAAATTCTCTAAAATTGACGTAACATAAGGGTTAAGCACTTCCTTTCACTGACTATTGACTTTTCTATCATTAGTGCCGTCTCATTCTTTTGGGAATTGAGCGATGGAAATTAAAAAAGGCAGTATTGTAACAAAATTGTTCATTTTGTAAAAACATCATTCATCATAAAATACATGGCTTAAGTAGCAGCCTTAATCTTTAAACTTAAAGTATTCAATTAACTCATTATTTGTAAACCTTGTCATTAAATGTTAGTCTCACATTTTTGAGATTGTGTGCTACCAAAACGTTGTTCTGTCAAAGCATATTGAAAATTCTTTATCTCCCGCAGGAAAACCCGCCATGTGAACATCCTGCTCTTCATGGGCTACACCACCAAACCCCAGCTGGCTATTGTTACACAGTGGTGTGAAGGCTCGAGTCTCTACCACCACCTGCACATCATCGAGACCAAGTTTGAGATGATCAAGCTGATTGACATTGCCCGTCAGACGGCTCAGGGCATGGAGTGAGTGACACTCCAAAGTTTTTAGGTCAATGTAATGTTTAAAAATAAAGAATCCATTAAGTCTTGAATAGAAAGCGTGAAACCTGCTGGCATCAGATACTCAAATGCTCAGTTTATGATGCATGAATTTAACACTTGTAAATCATTTTATCCACAGCTATCTGCACGCCAAGTCCATCATCCATAGAGATCTGAAGAGTAACAGTATCCTTTGTAAAAATCTTTATTGTTATAGAAATATAAAAATTCATAAATCTATCTTTTCAGGTCACTATTGGTAGGTATATGTGTGCGTCTACTAGGGGTTGCACTGACTAATCGACTAGTCGACTTCAATGCTCTGCCACGATGCTTTAAGCTTGACGTTGACTAGTCGCTGGTCCTATAGAGGGCGCAACAGGATAAGAAATCTTTGAAGGGCTTCCACATTTACGCTCCGTTTCCAAACAGTTCAAATGACAAATAAATGCATACTCTGAAAGCGCTCCATAAGACATGTGTGATTATATTACTGGATGCTCGAAACTGAACGGGAGCATGCACGTTTTAAACAGTTTATTGTACAGGTAAGTTAATCGCCGTTCTAATCTAATGCGCTGCTGCACTGTAGCCTACAGGCAGTAGCGAGTACATCACGCGCACAGAATCATTCATGAAATGTATTGTCAACACTATTCTGTGATTTCTCAATAAAATAGCTTAGAAACTGAAAAATTCAAGAATATATTTCTTAACTAAATTCCACAGCTTCACTACTAGTAGAGAGACGCTGCCAGGCAGAATTAATTCACACACGCAATCGCTCTCACTAATGCATTCATATGAATGTAATCTTTACTGTGCTAATTCATCTGTACCTGATTTAGAACGAGCAGAAATCTGTGAGAAATATAACAACCCAAAAACAAAAGAACTGATAAAACAGCTGTTATAGGAGCAACAGCCATGTGGGCAGCGCGGTGTCATATGCCATAGCTGTGCACAAGCTGTTTGTCACAGCTCCAGACTTATTTGTTCATTAATGACGTCATCAGCGACTAGTCGACTTCGACTTGACTTTCATCACATAAAAGTCGACTTCAAAAAAATCAGAAGTTGTTCAACTCCTAGCGTCTATATGCTCTTAGCCTTAACACCACCTCCCTAGATATCTTTCTGCATGAGGACCTAACAGTAAAGATTGGTGATTTCGGTCTGGCTACAGTGAAATCCCGCTGGAGTGGCTCGCATCAGTTTGAGCAGCTTTCTGGCTCTATCTTGTGGATGGTGAGTGAAGGAACATGTCTTAACTATGTCAGAAGTGTTTCTTCTGTACTGACATCTGCATCTTGGCTGATCTGCTTCAGGCTCCGGAGGTGATCAGATTGCAGGATAAAAACCCATACAGTTTCCAGTCGGATGTCTACGCGTTTGGCATTGTGCTCTATGAGCTCATGTCAGGGGCTCTGCCTTACTCTAACATCAACAACAGAGACCAGGTGAACCTCTTAGCAGTGTATTTTGGGTGAACTATCCCTTCAAAGCAGTTCATATGATGTTTTCTCATCAATTCAACTTTGAATGTTAAAGTACTAGTAAGAGGATGTACGTCATGTACAAAAATCAAATTTCTGCCAGTATCTGAAAATTGCAGAAATGAATGTTCATATCTTTCCTCATCCAGATTATCTTCATGGTTGGCCGGGGTTACCTGTCTTGTGACCTGAGCAAAGTGCGCAGTAATTGCCCCAAGGCCATGAAGAGACTTATGGCAGATTGTCTGAAGAAAAAGCGAGAGGAGAGACCTCTTTTCCCTCAGGTAATGTTGTGAACACCTGTCAAACGTCTACTTTCTCCAATTTGGCTGCCAACTGTCATGGGCATGCAGATTTATGTCAAGGTGTGTTGCCACAAGATGGCATCTGAGTGGCATTAACAGAAAGCAGCTTTGCATTTGAATTAGTTTGATTTCAAATACTAGTAAAATATATATGTATTATTGGTGTAACAGTACACAAAATTGGTATGTTTTCAGTACAGCGGGGGAAACATTTAATTTCTTCTTTTATTTCTTTTTCTTATTAAATAGTGATTTACAGAACAAACTATGGCTTTGTCTTTAAATAAATTCACAAAATGAATATTTTAATTATTTCACTCTTACTCTATTGCGCTCTGTCCACTGGATAAATAAAAAGGTCATGTTATATGTAATTAAAATAATTATATAATATACAAGGGTGGCCATAAGTGGCGTGCAGATGCGCGTGCATGACCAAAATAAATATATAAGTTCAGACCGCTCATGGTCGACATGGTTGACAACTGTTAATGCACTCTATTATATCGACTAACTGTGATACTTTACAAGATTTTCATTAAAACTGAAAGCATATATCTAGGCTATGCATTGCCTGTTTCACAACAAAACGCAAAACAGTAACATTTCATTCATTCACTGACGCGCTTAACTCAGCAGTGCTAAAACAGCCAGTGTGTATACCTACCTGCCGGGCAACCCGCCAAAATAAAAGCTTGCTGATTTTAGATTTGAAAATGTTGAAAATTCATATAAAAAATGTTAATGTAAATATGTGAGCAGTGTATTTTTTTAAGTGTACAGTATATAAATAATTTATTTAATAGCATTATCACACTTTATATAATATTTTTTTGTTATTATTTTTAAAATTAACTAAATAAAGTGCAATAATACTATTATTACTATTAATCACTTTTATTTTTAGTGAATGACCTGCAGAGAGCTGGGACCAAAGTAACAAAGGCTACCATCAGTAACACACTGCGCTGCCAGGGACTCAAATCCTGCAGTGCCAGACGTGTCCCCCTGCTTAAGCCAGTACATGTCCAGGCCTGTCTGAAGTTTGCTAGAGAGCATTTGGATGATCCAGAAGAGGATTGGGAGAATGTCATATGGTCAGATGAAACCAAAATAGAACTTTTTGGTAAAAACTCAACTTGTCGTGTTTGGAGGAGAAAGAATGCTGAGTTGCATCCAAAGAACACCATACCTACTGTGAAGCATGGGGGTGGAAACATCATGCTTTGGGGCTGTTTTTCTGCAAAGGGACCAGGACGACTGATTCGTGTAATGAAAGAATGAATGGGGCCATGTATCGTGAGATTTTGAGTGAAAACCTCCTTCCATCAGTAAGGGCATTGGCTGGGTCTTTCAGCATGACAATGATCCCAAACACACCGCCCGGGCAACGAAGGAGTGGCTTCGTAAGAAGCATTTCAAGGTCCTGGGGTGGCCTAGCCAGTCTCCAGATCTCAACCCCATAGAAAATCTTTGGAGGGAGTTGAAAATCCATGTTGCCCAGCGACAGCCCCAAAACATTACTGCTCTAGAGGAGATCTGCATGGAGGAATGGGCCAAAATACCAGCAACAGTGTGTGAAAACCTTGTGAAGACTTACAGAAAACATTTGACCTCTGTCATTGCCAACAAAGGGTATACAACAAAGTATTGAGATGAAATTTTGTTATTGACCAAATACTTATTTTCCACCATAATTTGCAAATAAATTCTTTAAAAATCCTACAATGTGATTTTCTGGATTTTTTTTTCTCATTTTGTCTCTCATAGTTGAGGTAGACCTATGATGAAAATTACAGGCCTCTCTCATCTTTTTAAGTGGGAGAACTTGCACAATTGGTGGCTGACTAAATACTTTTTTCCCCCACTGTATCTAGGCTATGCATTGCCTGTTTCATAACAAAACGCAAAACAGTAACATTTCATTCATTCACTGACGCGCTTAACTCAGCAGTGCTAAAACAGCCAGTGTGTATACCTACCTGCCGGGCAACCCGCCAAAATAAAAGCTTGCTGATTTTAGATTTGAAAATTCATATAAAAAATGTTAATGTAAATATGTGAGCAGTGTATTTTTTTTAAGTGTACAGTATATAAATAATTTATTTAATAGCATTATCACACTTTTTATAATATTTTTTTGTTATTATTTTTAAAATTAACTAAATAAAGTGCAATAATACTATTATTACTATTAATCACTTTTATTTTTCATAGTTATATTTAATGGGTCACACTATGTGCAGTGTGAGCACCAAACGCATGTGCTCTCATGATTTTTATTTTAATATGCATTATATATTTATGGCAGATCCTGGCCTCTATTGAGTTATTGGCACGCTCTTTGCCCAAGATCCACCGCAGCGCTTCTGAACCGTCCCTTAACCGCGCTGGATTCCAGACAGAGGACTTCAGCATGTACACCTGCGCTTCCCCCAAGACGCCCATCCAGGCTGGTGGCTATGGCAAGTTCACGTACACAAACAGTGTTGTACCTTTTTTACTTGTATCGCTTAAATTAGTATGAAACTGAGACGAATCTGTCGTTTGTGTCTCCTTTTAGGTGAATTCTCAGCGTTTAAATAGTGCTGCAAATCCTAAAACTCCATCCCTTGTCAGTTTTTACGACGTCTTGTGTTCCTACGGTGGGTTCATCCATAACACAGAAAAGGACTAGTTTTCAAAGAATGTGCTGTTTTTCTTCCTCTTTACCCGAAGAGCTACGGCCTCAATGGAATTGCTTTAAAATAAAAATGATCTCTGCAGGGTGTCATTGCTGATTTTACAAAAATGTCATAAACATCACAAAGGACAACTCGATAATGCAGCGTACAACAAAAACGACTGATGTGAGAAACCAACAGCTGCTCACTGGAAAGAAAAAGGCAAACAAACCCAAACAGATTTTGGCAGGGGATGAAAAACTTTCCCCAAGAAGGAAGATAAATGGGTTTGGGATGAATGATATTGGGAGCACAAGCCCCGCCTTTGCTCCGCCCCTGGAGGGGAACAACACACAGCACTGGCCAATCAGAAAACAGGGCCCAGTGACATGGAATGATGGGAAAATTGGCATAAGAAAGAGGACGTCAAGTCGCAGTCATGGAAAGGTGCTGAATGTCAGGAGAATGATATTTAGAAACGTTTTTTCTCTTGCAATGAGTTTGTTACGAGATGTCGCCCGTGGGTGGAGTTATTAATACAGATTTCTTTGGTCTTTAGCATTTTTTTTTTCTCTCAAGGGTCATATGTTGTAGATAAACCGACCCTTTTTCAGTTACAGATATAGTTTGTGACCAGTGGTAAATGAAGCAACCATCAAAAGACTTTTTTTTTTTATATTCACATATATATTCTAGAATATTCTGTAGGTTTTTTTCTTTTAGTTCTTTGTCAAGGCAAACTAGTATTTTTTTTTATTTATTTTGCATTTCACATGTCCCACGCAAAGAAGCCTGGGGAAATGTTTTTAGCCTCTCTTGGATCGGCACAAATACCATCAGAAATGTCTGAGGTGGGCAAAATCAAAGCGGTTTCCGCGCTTCTAGAGAATTTGATTTAGTTTCGACTCCTTACAGTAGCTGAAGGTTACATTATTTAAAGTTTCTTGTAGAAAAACCCACTGTATAAAGCAAACACGAAGCCTTGCTATGGAGTAACAATGTGGGCGTATTTCAGATGTATTTCTGTACTTTTCACTACAACTTTAAGCTTAACTGTTGTTATTAGAAGCCATTCCTTTGAGGCCATAACGGTTAACAGATTTTTATTTTATTTTTTTTTTAGATTCGATTCATCCGAGTCTCTTTTCGAACACTTTGGACCTTGCACCGCTGGATTCATTCTGATATATTTGTTCACGGGTCATAGGGTCATTAAGTTTCATATAGTTTTTCTTGTGTTATATACAGGCAGGCCTGCAAAGTTACATTAATTTATATTGCTTTAATTGTATTACTTTTTGTTCGGTGTTGTTTCGAACTCTCAGAGAGGTGTGTGTGTGTGTGTATATGTATATATATATATATATATATACATACATATTTTCTCTCACTCATTCTGTGATTTGCTGAAATGGACATTACGCAGTGTGTCTGTGCACTTTGTATAAATGACTGATGCAGATAAGCAATTTTGCCTTTTTAAAGACTTAATATATTTTGTCATATGAAGAGGTTAAAGCATGGTTACCGGATTGCAAAATGAATGAAAATTGATTTCAAAAGCAGGCAGGGCCATGGGACACTAAAAACCAAAGCTTAATCCAACCTCCTAATGCCACCTTCGCCATTGCCGGAGAACGGTTATCTGGATCTTCGACCAAATCGATTCGCCCTATGACTCGAACAGGCGACAAAGCGGCGACTCTTCGTTTCAAGTTGGTCCAAAGACTTCTGCGTCAACCCTCTAGCATAGCTTTGGGCTGTAGTGACACTAGCACTGTGTAGCCCTGAAGTTCACCTAGACACTGTGGATAGTGGAAGTGCCCTCGTAGGGATGCTTTTTGTTATTTCGGCCTCTTCGTAGTGAAATAAGTGGCTCTGCCTCCTTTTTTTCTCGTAGGAAATGACGCATTTTTGCTTTCGACTCCACAATATGCTTGATGTTGCACAGATAACTGAGGCTCTGCGCTTGGTTCGCCACTCGTGCTCTGTTACAAAAGCGAAGACACGCATCCCATCTTCTTGCTTCTGTTGAGATGGATTGGATTATTTATTTTGGTTCTTTTTTTCGATTATTTTTATAAGGACGATGCTCTGTGAATTGGTTCCGCCACTTAAACTTGCCATTAAGGAGAGAGGAGCTCCACGGATCCTTTGAGTCGTGACGGTGGTCACTGTTTTCACATGTATAATTTAAAAAGACAAGACGTTTGAATGAACTTGTTACCAGATTAAGCTGGCAAACCTAACGTGGGTTGCGTATGGAGATGGTAGAGGTGTATTTTAAGAATGCTGTATTTATTTTCTATGGGAATGTTACTGAAGATGTCTGACTTGTGAAGGATCGATCCTTCTTGACTGGAATACTTGGGGACCCGTTTAATTACAACTCGGAGATAAACACACATATATACAGATTCTCTATAACCATTTTTATTTCACTCCCCAAACCCCCATTTTATTTGCTTTTTAAGCCTTCACCAAAAAACGTCCGTATCACATTCCTTTCTGTTGCCTCGTCTGCACTTTAACCCCACCCTCCCCCAGTGCAAGTTCATTCAAGTGAGGAACTATCATACAAATGTTTGGGAGACTCTTTTCATCTGTAAATAGCTGTACAAAGGAAGTACTGTCCGTTTGCTAGGAGGCATGGAGATAAAAAATAATGAAATGACTTCAAGTGTTTCAACTTAAGAAATAAAGGTTAAGAAAAGACATTTTGATAGATGAAATTCTGAGAAAATATTTCGGTGTAAAAATATTTAAGACTGTATTATATAAAAGGAAAAGAGCTTAATGTATTTGTTGTGAATATGAAAAACTGATATATTAAAGAAGTGCATGAAAACTGGCTAATGTTTTTTGTGCTTTTATTTACATTTTATTTGAAATTCAATGTGAAGCACAGTTTGCTTTAAAAAGGCTGTAACATTTACCACTGATTTTAAAGCTATATTTATGATTATACTAGTTTTTTGGCTTGCAAAGTAGATTTTTTTTACTTTTATTTTCTGTATTATTTTGTAAAGTTGAAGAGGAGTTGCCTTTCTCTCACTAGCTCTGCCCACTCTTTTCTTACTTGGCCCCTCCAAGTCTTTTGTTTCGATCCTTCAGAACAGAAGAGATACTGTCGCTTTATAAAAGTTAGGTTACCTAACAGACTTTCAGAAGCCTTTTTTCCTATCTTTAGATTGAAAAAGAGAGGAAAAGTTTGTGTATTCACAAAAATCGTCTTGGTGGGATATTATATTTGGTTGTTTCTAGACAGTAAATGCTTGTTGCAACATCCATGGGTGAGTAAATGCATTAATGTATTATTTTCTTGATAATTTTCCAAAATTTCCATATTAGTGTCTGATATATTTGTGATTTGTATATGTAAACCTAAAAATATATAAATGTAGTATATACATATTCCCCCCCCCCCCTGAAAGCTGTTCACTTTATATAACAGGTAAAAATATGACGTGAGTTCTCAACTTTTCAGGATTTGTCACTGGATCCTGCATATCTTCATCTCTTCCAGACGAGCGTGGCATGTCCAATTTCATCTCTCTGTCAAGAAGGAAAAGACACAATGAACGAGGTATCAAAAATTAATATACTAATTAATCAATTACTGTATTATTTTCAATTTCCATCAAGTCCAATAAGGGCTAGTTTATTCAAACCCTTTTGTTGATATTTCATGTCAATCTCAGAGCGTTCCCTGGCTAACGCTCAGAGGCGTCAGAGCCTGCAGCTTGAAAGGACCCTACATGTGCTGGATGTGCAGTATCAGCGGGAGCTGGCTGGGGTACAAGGTGCACAACAACAGTTGAGAAGATCCCTGGACCGCCTCGGAGAACGAAGTGCCATCAAAAGACCTGCTTTGGCCCTGCCTCCAACCTCCAAAAATCATTCCTCCTCAAATCAACCCAAGAAGACTGCCTCGCAGTCCTGCTGCCCAAACCACATAGTGTGCTCGAGCTGCAACCTGCGCTTAAGGTTGGCCGATGCACTGACCCGTCGTTTTACCCCCAGCCTGTGGACAATGTACACCTGCCCCTTGACCTCCTTCCACTCTGGAGAAATCTATTATATGCCCAGATTTGTACAGCAACGTAATCTCTCAATATCAGACAACTCTCTTAGATATCTGCCATTTATGTAGACAATACGTTTCTCCACTGCATGTGAATCTTATATATAATCTAGGTTTTCAGGGCAGAGGTTGTCTAAATTTTAGCCTTGTGGAAGTCATCCAGATGATTTTAAAGGGGGCAGTAACCTGACAGCAGGATTGAAAAATGGTGTACAAACAAAAAGACTGAGGAAACTCTTCCAGAGGGTGATTTTATAACCCTTGAAGACGTGTATTGTTCCATCTGAAAGCTTTTCTTACACGTTTAGTGCAGCACACATTCCAGTGCCCTAGAAAGTGTTTCTACGGTCTCAGCTGTGCCGTACTCACCAGATACTTGCACTGATCTTTACTAAAAACAAACTGCATTTTGTAACCCAGAAGCACATCTTTGTTGAATAGATCTGTGGCACATTCATATTAGGACTGGAAAAGAATTAGATGGGTGGATACTAGTTTTATGGTTAGCAGCAATAGAGTTTCATGTTATAAAATGACACCCACTTGCAAAAGAGGCAGGTCACCTGATCTGCCAATTTAACCTGCCACATGCCTGTAGAGCCTAGAGACCTGAGTTCAAATCCAGCTGTTACTTACGGACAGTGGAATCTATGGTATGTTGGCAGCTTTAATTAATGCTGTAACTAAACATAACATCAAAAATACCCCTGAAACAAACTTACAAACTCAGTGGCTCAGGGGGTGAAACATCACATTTTTAATCTTGGAGACCTGAGTTCGAATCCCACTATTGCTTGTGTTAAATTGTCATCATATAGCTAAATACATGCGCTTGGAAGTGAAGGCTGCGATCCAGACAAGGATTCAAATCCCACCTCAGCATGTCAAAATTTAACTGGTTTATTTCACAGGTGAGTGGAGAAATATAAGTTATTTAACACATTGAGCCAAGAGATCTGTGGCTCACTGGTAAGAGTGCTACCTCACGGGTGAGAGGTTGCTGGTTCAATCCCAGCCAGAGTCCTGTGGTATGAAGGAGTGGGGGTGATTCAGGAAAGACTCTACTTAAGCTTTAACTGGTTTATTGTAAAATCACATGCAGGTGAACAGTGAAATATAAGGTCAAGCATCTGGTCACACAAGAGATCTGTGGCTCACTGGTAAGAGCGCTGCCTCATGGTTCAGAGGTTGCTGGTTCAATCCCAGCCAGAGCTCTGCGATATGAGTGAGTGTTGTGTGAATGAAGGGGTGAGGATGATTCGGGTCCCCCCCTGAGTCCCAGAGCGATGTCCAGCAGCGGTTATGCTTCTTGATATTTAAAAAATTTTTTAAGCTGTATTAAAATTTTGAACCTCCCGTCACTTCCCCACCCGTTTAGGTTACCA